AAGGACCTTCAGAGGCAAACCACACAAGCTGGCAAATGCATGTTTTGGGTTTTTTACCTTCTCTTTAATGACGTACCACAAAAAAAAGCAAGTTGAAATATATTTTTCTCCAAATATATATATTTTTATAATATATAATCTTAGTTAACTCAAGTATATACATTGTATAATAAATAATGCTTATAAAAAGAGAAATTTTCTGAATATAAAATAAAAAAAAATCGACCTCTACAACTTTATACAAAACTTTGGATACAGCAGATTGATGGAAAAAGATCTTCCATTCAGTGCTAGAATACCTGGCTACAGTAAAATAATTACAAGGCAATAAATGTTCTATTTAATATTAAATACCTTTTCTTGATTAAAAAAAACCAACCAAACAAACAAACAAAGGGATTTTGTTTAAAGTCAGGTACTTAGAGTCTTTCCAGACACAGAATTTAATATATACTTTTAAATAGAATGCATATCAGAAGACGGCTTATTTCTGAATCGGGGAGGTTCCTTAGAGCTCTCCTGTGATCTGTGGTTTTAGAAAGCTCCTGCTGCTTAGGCTGCCTGAACCCAGGAGCTCTTCATCGTGCTCTGCAGAGGAGGGACTGAGAATTTTTCTCCGATTCTCTCCAGCCACAGGTTCAGGCGGCAGGGCCACGTTCTGTGCTCCATGTGGGGGGTCCTTCACCCATTTTATTGCTCTTTGCAGTGTCATGTACCGCTCTTTCCCATGGACCAAGAAGCAAGTGGAGTAGAAGATGCAGCTTTAATGGTTTAAACTTATTTCTATGTTAAATCACTGATGCGTGAGAAGTAGCATTGGAACATGGTTATGGGACCCCCAGGACAGAGTAATACCTTTTTTTTTTTAATTTCAAGGGTTATTATGCCGTAATCCCCAAATGAGGGGGCATGTGGTCAAGGAGGAGGATGCAGCCTGGGGAGCAGGTCGGGGGGCGAATGCTGATTCTTCTGCACTGAGATGGGTCGTGGGATGTGTGTGGCCACACCTGGGGCCTAAATCCCTGTTAATGGTGCGGAGCTTCTGCTTGACGTGGACTCCTCATGGATTGCTGATAACTCCAGAAATCCTAGGGAAAGGAAAGGGTCTGCCTGGGACTGTGCTGTCAGATAAAGG